TTTGAGACCGCCTCATTTTGCCTCAAATTTTGGTTGTTTTCAAGTCGCCGACCACGAAAATTGATTTTGTCGATTTTCTCCAAATCCAAGCGGCCTTTTGAAAAACAAACTACACCACGTTTAGTTGCTTACTTATGCCTATCTATGGACAAGATATGAGCGAAAATGATTTTTTGACTGTGGCCGCGAAATTTCAATTTTGCTCGATTTTTACAGACATTCGCTCTTAAGATCTTTGTCTCTTTCTATTAATTATGCAATAATTTAAATTAAACAAGGCAAAACGCTAATCTGCAATTTGGAAGTTAGCAGCGGCTTTCGCTTGGGGATCAGAAACATTTATAGACTGGGGTATTTTACTGTGGCCATATGACCACTATACATCCGGGAACCAAGTGGCTTTTATTTTACGTTTGTAACCCTAGTGTTCATGTCATATCGATCTATTTCACAAGAAGATCAGACGCCAACAACAACAAAAAAAGACATAAATGTACTTTCCATTTTCATATTTTTATTTTCCCCAGTTAAAATTCATGATCAACCTACTTATCAAACTTGGTATGGCTGTAACCTTAAGGTTTTGTGTGTAAACAGTCTTGTGTGTATGCGAAGTTTAACCCGCTTCAAATTGAGGCTTTTCCAGTGTCCTGTTTTGGGTTTCTTGCCATATTCAGGCCCATTCAAAAAGTGCTTGTTGTAGTTAAGAGTTGGTCAAGGCGTTTATGTTGAATGTTAAAATAGATCACTCAATATCTTTATTCCCCTAAATTGACCAGATAACGCGCAATCGTGGTCATGAGCAAAATTAATAGTTGTGTCAGTTCTCTATGTAACGGGCGCAAAGACATGGACCACAAAATCGTCACATTTAAATTGTCATCGTAAGTATAATATTAAAATGAACGAAGTGATAAACCTTGTTTAATTTAATAATGAATTGGCACAGAAGTCACACACTGAAAGCAAGCGATTATTTCGAAGTCAGTCTTTTGGGTCGTTCTACGACTATCACTATGAAAATTTTTAGCCAACAATAAAGGAGTTCACATGAATCAGCCGAGTTTCTTCGCTTCATGCTTGTTTGTTGTCTTAGAAATATGGGTCGCTGTTCTTGGCTTCCACAGAAAACTTATACCGCTTGAGTCATTTATTTGTTTGCGTCGATTCGGGTGCACAGAGCACTGTTTTTCTTAACATTGATACTGATCCTAAAACTGTGTTGCAAGTTTCGTTTTTGCGTAGAATAGTCACACCCACGATACGAGTTCATTCAGTTATTCAGTGCTGAACACAGATGTTTGAATCTTTCAGGTGATTGCCGCACCCTAGCTTTCCCAAGTTTTTTCTTCTGTACTGATAAACGTCTCGCAAACCATATCATAAGAACTGAACAAGTCCCACACGTACAAACTTGTGAGCTGCTATGTTACCTTGAGCCCAACTGCGTCAGCATAAATTTCCAAAATAAAGCTGAAGTCCATGGAAAGTTCAACTGTGAGTTAAACAATTCAACTCACCGGAGGCATGATGATGATTTTCTGGATAAAAATGGCTACTTATACCGTGGATCAGATGTAAGTTCTTGAGTTTTTATTCTGAATTTCCTTCGCACTGACCGTCGCTAGTTAATAGATTGTGATCGCAAAAGTAGCATTTTATGCCACTAGTAATTCTCGTTTATTTCTAAAATTATATGTGCCAGTAATTATGCTAGTTTTTGTAAATTATGCTCGTTGTAGCAAAAAATACAGAAACTATGCTTTTTTCACTTTAAATTTGGTGAAAACACCTAGTCAATAACTTACAACAAACTAGAACGTCGAACAAATTTACTCCTACTTACATCTAGAAACTTTAAGAGTGCATACTTCATAGTCTGACAACTATAAAAACAACCCGATCTTGGATACTACTGAGCTAGTTATGCGCACTCGTTGAGTCCTGCTGTAGGTCCTGTAGAAACTGATCGTCACTTCATGTGGGACGAAGATCCCATTACTTAAATTTCCCTGTAACACTGGTCTTGGGCCAAAAAAATGGTTGTATGATCAAAAATGACAATTTTGTGATGCAAAACTAGCCAAAATGGCAAATTATGCTAGCAGTGCTTTTTTTCGGGAAATAGATGAAAATCATGCTCGTAATGACGAATAATGCCTAAAACTATGCTGGCACGATCTAAAATAACTGTCACGCGCACGCCTTCTTACTTGCCTGGCAGATAAACTCCTCTCAACTGCTGAACTTCAAGTCACGTTAAGTAAAGGAACAGTTTAAAAATAGTGTGATGAGAATCATAGTTTTTTTTTCTTTTAAGAGTGCCTGTGATGCGGACCCCTGCAAATACAATGCCACCTGTCAATCTGGATATACACACAAAAATTATCGCTGTATTTGTCTTCCTGGATTCAACGGTGAAAACTGTGAAAGAGGTAGGGGCCTGAGGATGAAGTAACTATAGTTATCTTTTCACTGTTACAATATCTCAGCAATTGCAAACAAACAATAGGAAAACTTCATTACTTGCGTGTGGCGGAGTGAAAACCCGTCTACAGCCGGTGCCGTGAGAAAATTGACCCTCGGAAAACTTTAAACTGTCACTTTTAAAGGCCGATACACTCGACGGATTTTGCTCCCAGAGCATACTCCAGGGGCACGCTCCGGGAGCAAAGCTCCTCCGTGTGTACCAACGATTTCATGGATATACTTCATCTTCGGGAGCAGAATTTCCACCCCGCAAAATGCTCCACGACATTTAACCGGTTAAATATTTGGGAGCAAGCTCCCGGGGCAAATTGAGCGAACTTGAAAACGCTCCCTCGTGTGTACTGACAGGTGCAAAATGAGCCTGGAGCATGTTCCGGGAGCAAAACCCCTCGTGTGTATCGGCCTTTTTAAGTCCTGGGCGCATACATCTTTTATAAAATACGTTTTGCAATTACCGGTTACTCTGGACTAGTTTTCAAAACGCCACAATAAATCGAATTCAAAAGGGGGCTTATAATAGGAGCAAGAGTGGGGAGGAGGGAACGGGGCTTATATTCGTAGCAAGTTTATTCAACAGTTTATTCAATTATCAAATAATTTGAGACTATGTTACCCACAATTAGCGGAGCTATTTTAGGTGGGCAACAATACAATAATTGTCCCCTATAAAGTCGGCAAAAGAACGTAAGTAAAGAGGAAGCAAAAATAAATTTAAATAAATAAATAAAGAAATAAATAAAAGGTAGCACCTACTGATATAAGGAAGTAAGACACTTTACTAAATAAGGAGTCCAATTCAGGTAGGAACAAAAGATGTATTTGTTCAGATTGAATTTGATGTCGAATTCTTTACACCTCTTATAAAGGAGAATGAAGAAACGACAAAAAAGACAAAGACGAAACACCGTCTTTCTAGAAAGTAATAGCCCACGAAGAAACACACTTTCGTGTACAAATTTTTGAAAATAAATCACCCTCGCGGGCGGTCAAAATGCTCGGGTACACTGTTACCCTCTGACGTCAAAGATTTTGCAATCGACCTCTTGAGAAAATACCATAACATACCATAATGCTCTTTGTTTGTTGCCCCAAAATTTTGCATAAGCATTGTCTTCAGTTTCTCTTGGGAGTTAAAATGGCCCCAAGAGAGACTGTAAACAATGCTTATGCAAAATTTGGGGGTGACAAACAAAGAGCGTTATGGTATGTTATGGTATTTCTGGAGTGGTCAATGTTCCCCCCTCAGAGATTTTGGCGGGAAACAGGTTCATAGTTAGATGTCATGTGACCTCGAAGTAACCAATGAGAGCGCGCACTGTTGGAAAACAATTTCCAGCTATATAACAATAAGATTTGTGTACTGCATATGAAAAGATAGTCAAATAGCCCTATGACAGTATTTAATCAAGGTTTTTTCATATTTGTGTTCCGGTATTCAATTCATTTCAATAGATGTAAACGAGTGTACTGACAGATCGCACGACTGCGGCGCCAACCAAGATTGTGTCAACTCAAAGGGTTCCTTTAGCTGCATTCCAGGTAAATGAAGCTAATAAGCCAGTGAATACGACATCGAACAACAACAATGAAATATCAGATAGCGCTTTAGAATATTGAATTTTTAAGCCTCGTCTCCAAAGTGATCGCAGTGTTAACTAAAAACAAGTTAAGCTGGAATATTCATCGCAGCGATCAAGGAATTGGAACATTAGGCTATTTTTACACTACAACGGGTAGCTTTTGCGCTGCCACGATAATCATACCGGATCAGTCCTCTGGTCACGCATATGAACGGCTGTGGCAGCGCGATACGTGACGAAGCAAAGCTGCGCCACGCCAATCTCGAAGGGGCAGCGTGACATTACTGACATATCAGATAGGTTTTGTGCCACACTTTGGTGCATTGTTAACACCTATTCGGATTGTCGCGGAAGTAAATATTTACGAGCGAGACGTGGAACCCACTGAGACGGAAGTAAACATTCAGGAACGAGGACTGGAATTTAGTGCCCCAAACCCTCTCGGCCAACCGTGTCGGCACGATGTTTGATATGTCCGAACGACGCAGGCGCGTGGCCCCACGAAAAACTATTCGGTAAGCGTAAACGTAGCTTAAAGTCTTCTAAAAAGTCGCAGGGGGCGCATCAGTCGCGGCGGCAAAATTACAATCCCCGAAATTACACTTTTGCCCGGTCGTTAATGGGTGGTTTAGATTTAGTCGCTACGTTGCTGGACGAATTTCATCTATTGCAGTGATCATAGTCATTAACAGTTTTTAAAGCGGTTTTTAAGCAATAAAATTTTAATTTTTTGCTTCCTTACTGACTTGCCGTATTTTCTTCGTTGCTGTTTTTTAAGGTTGTTAGGTATGTGATAGTGCGTACTGTGACATCCAAATCTTCTCAGTAGAGTTTTCTTCCCTCGCGAATGTTACTTTGCACAATTACCACAGTTAGTTTTTATGGGTATTTTTGGTAGTATCGGTCTGTTTCGATAACTTAGATTTGGCTATGATTACAGTTCTTTCAGATTATACAGTAATTGTCCAGACGGCTAATAAATTGGGGGCTGGAACGGATGCTACGGTAAAAATCAAAGTGGAAGGTACGAAGGGAATCGCAGAACGGAATCTAGAAGGCAGCTTTGAACAAGGAGAGTAAGGAAAATGTTTTCTGTAATTTCCACGCTACCGATTTTAATTAGCATTCTATATTCTAGCTACGGCTACGGGAGCGTCAAGAGAGCAAAAGATAAAAAGTCTGGATGGTCATCACACTTTTTGATTCTTTTTGTGCGGTCCTTTGCACGTGAAAATCCTCTTTCCAAGTGTTACTAGATTACTAGGATCTGATTTAACACACACAAAAATAATTTTCTTTCAGTCTCCTCTATAAACTTGGGTGCGTTCCGTTAGAATTCAACAACAAAAAACTCACCTAAGACTTGACAGACGCAAGTAGGACTAATCGCTACGACATATGCAGTTTGTTTTATTCGATAGATGATGATGATGATGATTAAAAATTCTGTATACTGAGGAGGTTTAATTTTCAGTTCAATTTGTTACTCAGTTCTCACTTCTTTATTGTTAGAGTTGCATTGTCTATAATTTTTCATCTAACGTATTTTAATACATTAAAAGCATAAGATGCTGTAGGAAAACTTTTGCAGATTGCAGATTCACTTTACCTACAAGCAGTGTTACTAAAGAGTATCAATAGGCCCTCGAAAGGAGAGAACTTTACAGTAAATTAAAGCTGGAGGAGTTGCTTCTTATAGCTGAAAAATAATAGCAAGAAGTATGGCAATTAGCTGATTCTGAATATCCGGGACTGACACAGAGAAAACAAATAAGGGAAACAAGGAACCTTGTTTGTTTCTTCAGAAAAAAAAGTAAGGAAGTTATTTTCCTGTCTGTTAAAAATTGATCGGTTCACACTTCTAAAAAAAGTGTACAATAAAATCTTGAGATATTACAATCCAGTCTGTTCAAATTACCGAAGATTGAGAATTGTAAGGCTTTTGTTCCCAAATAGGAAATTTTTATAAACTGGCCAAGGATTATCATCATTAGGTTTTCATTTAGGCGTCTGTACTATGTAAAATGAAATTATCTCGGAGGGTGTTATTCGTCCCGAACCCATCCCATCTACTCACAAGTTCTTCATATCATGCTCAGCCTTCATCCAGTTATTGTAGCCCACTCACAGTCCCTCTATTTTCTCCTCAGAGATCGTCGAGCACGCGTATGAAAATAGAAATCGAGGGGATTTATTAACTGCTTTAGTGCAAGGGGGTCGTTCTTCCTCTCCACGCTCGCTCTCGCGCGCTCGTTTCGCTCGCGTGTTAGTAGCTTTTCGAAAAGAAAAAGAAAACAACATCTGTGTACAGGCTACAGTAATTGTCAATTATTGTTTCACTGAGAAACTAACACTTCAGTACTTTTCTGTACGATTTCTTTACATATGAATGATGTGTACAGTCATGTTTCACAACAAACATCAACCTCGTTACCCGGGAGTGGGGGCGGGGGGGAGTCTAATGGGGATATGCCGCTGGATGTAGAAGCATATTGACAACTGGAGTGACCAAAATGGGCCGAAAATTTCGAATTTTGTGGGTAAGTAGGGATTCAAAATGGGAAGATTCTCGGTTAAAAAAATCAGAAACTTGAAGTTGTTGTCTAGTAAATTTGTATAGGTAATAGCATAATTTGTAGTGATATTTGGCATAAATACCACGAGTGATATTTCAAAATTGTTATACGGAATTTCACGAGCCGTTAGGCGAGTGAAATTTGAGACAATTTTGAAATATCACTAGTGGTGTTTATGCCAAATATCACGTACAAATCATGCTATTAATTGTTTATATTACTACTCTTAGAAGGTTTGTAATTTTCACATGTAGGTATTTCAAATTAAGCTGAAATACCACTGCTCCAAGCCAATCAAATTGCAGAAATTTCTCCTGTAGTAGTATAAAACAATAAACTCGCATTGACCGCATTACATTCCGTTCTTGCAATGGCATTGATGTGGTAGGTTAACAGAAAGTGACTAAGTTGGGATCGCGAAAATTACATGTTCCAAAAAGTGACTAAGATGGGGTCTATAATTGGCCAAAAAATAGACTTTAATGGGGTAGGGGCTCTCAGAGGCCAGAGGCACATACCCAGCAAACATTAACCCAAGTACTCCCCCTCCCGGGCCTCGTTATCGGCGCTATTTGCCTTTTCTAGCCGTGAAAAAAAAGCCCTCAGGAATGGTACTGAGAAAAATATCTGAAACACACTGTTGATCAATCTTGATGTTCTAATTACTAACACTACATTTTTTTTCCCTTTTCGCTGTAATTATTAATATTTTAACAGTTATGAAACATTCCATTTCTCTGACTGGGACATTGGGTATGTTAAAGGTCTGGAGATTTATCGTGGCAACGAGGGGGCTTTTCCTGGCTGGGATTTGGAATACGTAAGTGCACTCGTTTAATAACGAATTGATTTTTTCAGTCCCTCAATAACTTGCATCGCCATCATGTTTTTTGGATAAAAAAGCCAAAATAAATTATAGATGGCATTGTACGAATTAAAATCCATGAGCGCTTACCATTTGTATGGAGGGGGGCGTAAGGGGGGTACGAATACCGCAATACCGCATCAAAATTTAGCCAATTACCGAAACCGCAGTTACAAATGGGAAAAAGTTGACATTGTCAATACTACAAATCCTCCTTTCAAATAGAAATAATACTTTTATGTCAGTGTTTCCAAATCATGGTGCGTCGATGTCAAGCGTACGATAAACATAAAATCATCGCACTGGTTTTACTTTATATATTCCTGACCTGGATCATAAACGGACGGATGACAGTTGACTCTTATGAGGTTGTTTCAGATTCACAGTTGACACACAGTCGGTTCTGTGTTGAGGGTTTCAAAATGTCGACCCTGGCTGCCTTTTGGATTCGAAGGGCACATAGCACCCGGGGGGGGGGGTACTCCCTTGCAAGAGGCTAAAAGGGATGTGCCGCTTGATAGGGTCGCATTTTCACGACTGGAGTGACTATAATAGGGTCGCATTTTCAATAGATTTACTTAATGGGGTCGCAAATTTTCGGATTTTTGGGATAGGTAGGGATTCAAATGGGAAGATTCTCGGTTAAAAAATCAGGAAGTGGTTGTTTATTAAATTCAACAATAAGCTCGCATTGACCGCATTACATTCCGCCGCTTGAAGCTAAATAATGAAGGCAGGCGCGGGTGAGGAGATTGGTGCGGGAGCTGCTTCGCCGCTCACAGTCGTGCTGCGACAAAACCATGTAAAACTCCCATGGGGTACTTGGGTTAATTTTTACTTGGTATGTGCCACTGGACTCTCAGAGCCCCTACCTCATTATAGTCTATTCTGTGGCCAATTATAGACCCCATCTTAGTCACTTTTGATCAAATATTTAAATTTCGCGATCTCAACTTGGTTACTTTCTATTTTTTTGATTGACCATGTTTTAGAATGAATGAAGAACACTTTACTTTTCATCTACAATACAAACATTCTGGTACCTTTGCTAACCGTAAATATGAAGAACTGTTTTATCCCAAAAAAGCAGAACATGTGCGACCCCATTCTAGTAACTCTCTAAAAATGCGACCCCATTATAGTCAATCCAGTCGTGAAAATGCGACACCATCCAGCGGCACATCCTCATCCTCCCCGGCCGCCATGGTACGTAGGCTAAGCACACACGAATACTAGTACATTCCATATTCCTGCATGCACAACGAGAAGGACGAGTATTAATTTTTAGATCACATCATCTTCATGGATTATCTTTCGACACTACACAATTTATAACGACCTCACTGACCTCACTATTTGCTGGAAAATCTGACTGATCACTTAGTTGACCCTCTGGATCGTTCGCCATTGTTTTGCGACTAGCACACTCCCGAAGGGCCTCTGCTCGCAGGGTATGAGGTCATAAATAATGCAACATGTTTACGTATCATTGGATAAAAAAGTTAATGTCGTTAATCATATCAAGTATTAACTGAAATTACAAGCCATACGATTTGTCTGCACTGTTTGCGCAATACGATCCCCGACTGTGCAACTACAGGAAGAAAAATTTAAACTTACCGCACACCGCTTGGACTCTGAAAACCGCAATACCGTACTTTGAAATAAAAATTACCGCAACACCGCACCAAAAATAACCCAATACCGCAATACCGCAAACCCTTACGCCCCCCTCTGTATGGAAAACCCGGTAATTCCGGGCAGAATTTAAATGGAACGGTTCATCCCGGTAGAAATTTTCCGGAATAAAAGTAATTATACCTTTCGAAGTATTACTTTTTTCCCGTTCTTACCGAAACGACGGAAATTTTTTTGCACCATTTGTCTGATTAACCACTGCCAGGCTTCCTTTTGAGGCGGAAGGTGATTTGCTTTAACCCAGGTCCACTCCTTTTCTGGTGTTTTGCAAATGGTACAACTCTAACCCATTCGTCTTTTGGAAAACGTTTTCAAGTCCAGTATCATTTGTCAGAAATGTTTTACCGAAATTTTGTTACAAATGGTAAGCGCTCCATGTTTCATGTTTATCATCAGTTATCGACCTGCATACCGTCGAACTTCCATGTTTGACTGCCTCTCTCTAGTACGCGACTACCGATCCAAAATACTAAATTTTCTCATTCAACAAAGTCTTGTTCTTAGAGACTATCCTACACTACTCGCACCTGTCTTAAGCAGTCTCAACCTCTTTTTGAGGTATGCCCAGCGGTCGACCGCTCGAGATGGTCTGATCGTTTTGTTCTCTGTATGAACTCTAATTTTTACTCGGAGTATGCAAATAACACTTTTAGCCCCATGAAGGAAAATCAAAATACACATATCGTAAAGTGGAAATTGCACGCAAAAAAATTCTCCTCCCTTAAGTGGATGAGTCGGGACCTCGGAATAAGGATCCGTATGTTGGTCAGTCCTCGTGAGCCATCACCTCCCGTAAGCAGCCGCTCAGAACTTCACGTTATTGGGTGATAACTGCCTGTAGTTTCTTTTATTGCTAGATCATCATTAAGGTTGTTGGAGCTACGGACAGCATATTTAACTACCATGAAAGGGTCAGATCTGGATGGACTACACTTACCCGTGAGTATACCCCGGTCCATAAACTGATGAACTACAGTAACTGTGTGTCCTCTCTTCAAAGTCTTTCCCAAAAATCCTATTCATCATTTTCACATTACCCATAAACCATCTTGTTTACAAGCACAAAACTTGCACAAGCATTGTCTTCCATTTTTTTCATGGGATAGCCTGATTTTGGGGAGGCGGGTCTGTACACAGGCTATTCATGGGACGACTGTAATACTTGATAAAGGCACTCGGATTTCTCAATGGTGTCCCTGTGAAACGGACTTATGTACCAGACGGATAGTCACGTGACAGATGCAGATTTTTTTTTCACCTATGGCATGCCTTTGAAGGGGAAGAGAGTGGGTGGGGAGTTCAGATATGCGGAAACGTGACGCTCGCGCGCGAGGAAGCACCTATCCCATTCCCTTTCTCCTTCAACCTGCCACTTGGGTTAGTGAACTCCTCTCTGTCTTGTATTAGAGGAGGTAGTATAGGCGACTAAAATGTCTTTGAAATGCCTAAATTTTTGTACTTTAGCGTGGTAGCTGTATTTGCGAAGGGCAAAGTGAGCCCCAGTCATTTATTTATTCATAATCATGATCATGATCAATATAGAAGTACTAGAAGATGGTATCGACTGTTTAGAAACAGCTTCCGATGGACTGTTTATCATTGCTTCCTTTATTCTGTGCAACACCATATCCATGACGGGAATGGCATACGACCCACACCAAATTTTTAGTATAGGTAATAGCATGATTTGTAGTGATATTTGGCATAAATACCACGAGTGATATTTCAAAATTTTTATACGTAATTTTACGAGCCGTTAGGCGAGTAAAATTTGAGACAATTTTGAAATATCACGAGTGGTGTTTATGCCAAACATCACGTACAAATCATGCTATTATTTATTTATACTACTACCCGCAAAGGGTTCGTTATTTTCACATGTAGTTATTTCAAACTGTGCACTGAAATACCACTGCTCTAAGCCAATCAAATTGCAGAAATTTCTCATGTAGTAGTATAATTGGCCAAAATTACACTATTCATAGAACAAGCTTGAAGTACACGTAGCCAGTCTAGTTGGAGATTTATTTTCCTTAAAACGCCAGACTAGACTAATTTATGTTTACTCTAGAAATAGTATTTCTAATTTTTAAAATTTTCATTTATAGTTACATGTCTTGATGGCCATCAAGTGAACGATCAGCAATACTGTTCTCCAGGTACGTCATCACAAATTTTGTTCTTGCTATTCAGTCGTCAACAGAAGATGAACATCTTCAGAGCCTACGGGCTGCCGTGTGGCAATTTTCTTACCCCTCACGCTCGTGGGCATGCTCCCTAAGGTGGCCTATACGAGAATACTGCGCCAAAAAGGAGGAGTACCTCCCTCAGTGTAGAGATTATAAAAGGTTAGGCAACGAGTCATGGACAAGAAATGGGCACAGACAACTATATAGGGTCTTCTTCAATTTACCTTGACGACACTCAGTTAACCGCTCATCCTTTGTTTTCTTTTTGGAAAGGTTACTCAAGAACAATGTGTCTCAAAATCATTTCTTTCTATTTCGGTCAAAACTGTCAAAAAACGATACCACTTTGGATCTCTTGGCAGAACATCGCCGTACAAAAAGTTTGAGTTAGCCCCAGGGCCCCAAGTTATATGCATGCACGCTCACTGACAGGATTATGGCGAGAGTCTTCTTCGCGTGATCTTGCGTGACTTCTCGTGACTCACCCCAAATGGATAGCTTTCTCGTAAATGGATGAAATAGTTCGCGCATAACGGCCGAAAATGGGGTCCCGTTCTTTTGTTTGAAGCAGCGAGTTTGAAATTCGTATCCGAGACTTGGTCACAATTTTCCTATTTTAATAGGAAAACGCTCGACGTGCGGTGGTGACGGCATCAACTCAAAACCTATGGGGCAATTAATTCAGTCTTCCTGCATGAGATCGCTCTATCAAATTAAGGAAATCTTGAGCGAGACCGAGTCAAAACGGCTAGAAAAACCGTTTTCCAGACATAACCAGAACATGAAAACAACATGCCAAATGAATTTGTCCTACCAAACTATAAACAACAGGATCACCACTTTCTACTGTTTTGATTATTTCTTTGTTTTTTTAAAAGTGTAGTTTATCATAATTACGTCATCATTTGTTTATTTTTCTTAGATTAATGGCTGAAGGGGATGACAAAAACAAGACATGACAACCCCTCTTGACAAAATCAAAAGTCACCATGACCATTGTGGCGTAAACTATGATAAATAAAATCGTTGATTAGTGGCCTCTTTATAGGATATTGTAAGTTTTACAGTTCTTAAAAATTAACCAGTGTCATCATTAGTTTACAACAGGACAGGTTCAAGAAAAAAATTTTTTCTCTCCTGCGAAACAGTGGAAAAGCTTCGTTGCGAGAACTTTCAGGGCTAATCAGTTCTCTGAAACTTTTTCGACTTTTCCTGATTGGTGATTCCAGTCCAGTGTAGCTCCTACGAAGAAACTGAAGTGGCTATCCATAGTATATTTACACGATTCGTAGCACAGTAAACAGGCTACAATCGGCGGCGAAAAATCGGTCTGGACCACCCCCGCCCTGGCCCTCCATTCAAAGCTGGTATGTTTGTTGTTTGTTTGGCTAGCACTGGAACGTGGAAAAAACATTCTTTAGAGAAGGTGTGTAGGGAAGTGGAGGGCATTAAAAGCGTCAGTTCATTTTTTCTACGTCAAAACAAGTTAGCATGAGTGAAGGCAAAACGCGAGAAATGTCCTTGAGGGCAAAGTGTCTGAACTAATCTTGTTTTGTACGCCGATTGTAGCCTGTTAATAAAGGCTAACATTTAAAAGTAAATCTGCAAAATCGGTGTATGAAAACGCCGTGACAGAAACAAATGAAACAGTAAATACTGTAATCAGCTCTGTGCTAATGTGCACTTATAACCATGATCACTATCGTCCAATCCATGTATTTGCTGGCACCCACTCATCGAAGTTGAAGAATTGTTCGTCGTCTATTTTAATCTGAAAGGAATTCAAATGTCACCCAAGAAGTCAGTTTAGCACGTCTTGATTCGATTCAATAAATTCACGTCATATCAGAAACGGTTTCATTTTATCATATGTTACTCACATAGTCGAGAAACCAATTTGGACTATCATTTCTATCATCTCGATAAACCTCCACTCCCGTTACCGTTCCAACGTGGTAAGCTTGAAAAACAAATTCGTCAGTTCTACAACAAAAAAGCCAAAAGCCCAAGGTTAACTGTTATTCAAAAGTCCCCACGTGCATGGACTGGAAAATAAAAAGAACTATATATGGATAGGAATTTTCTCGCCATTGATTAAAAAAGGGTACCGACGTAATCGGTCTTAACAAGCTTTTCATCAGAACTGTAAAGTAGTCCGGTTGACGTTTGCCTCTGGAAAAGCTAAGAACTGCGAGTACATGCATGAATTTAATCGAGCAACGCCCTTGGCAATTTTAGTTACGAAGTCACTTTTTAAGGAATTTACGAAAGTTCTACACGGATTGCTTTCCGATATCTTAAAAAGAGATGATGACAATATTGAGACGCCATTGAATTTTATAATTGAAAAAGCTGGATAAACAGTTAGGTGAATTCTGTACATTATACTACTACATGAGAAATTTCTGCAAATTGATTGGTTTAGAGCAGTGGCATTTCAGATTAATTTGAAATACCTACATGTGAAAATTACAAACCTTTTGCGGGTAGTAGTATAAACAAATAATAGATGATTTGTACGTGATATTTGGCATAAATACCACTCGTGATATTTCAAAATTTTCTCAAATTTCATGAGCCTAACGGCTCGTGAAAATACATATAACAATTTTGAAATATCACTCGTGGTATTTATGCCAAATATCACTCCAAATCATGCTATTACCTATACAAATTATATACTTTCCGCTCTCCGTCAATTCCTTTTTCGTTTCTCCCTAGATACAATATACTTGAAATAAGAATATGACAGAAATAAGAATTTATTGTGAATTAAAATATTCAACTTAACCGCCTAGATTAGCAATTGCTATTTTGCGGGCCAGTCTATTAGAATTACTATTTTTATTGAATAAAGTTGGAGTTGAAGTTGAAATTTGTGCGGCCTTCCGAGGTAATCCATGGGAAGGCTGTACAGTGGAGCCTCTTCTTTGGGACACTTCTATTCGAGGGACACCTGATGGACACCTCCATTTCAGGAGACACAAAATTTGGTCCCGGAAAAATGTTCACATAATATTTGTCTTTGTTACCTCTATTGAAGGGACTGCACACCTCTGTTCAGGGGAATGGGACACTTTTTTGGGTCCCGAAACCTAGGTTTAACCTCCATTCAGAGGACACCTCAGCAATCAAAAATAACGACAGCTTTCAAAACATGAATTAACTCACTTAAATCGATGTACTGCACTTGTGGTAGTCAGATTCGCAGAAATAAGTTAATCCAAGAGCCCTTGGTTTGATTATTTCCGCGGTAGGTTTGACTGAAACACAGTCAAACCCTGTATTACTGACACCCGCTTAATTTGGACACTCTATTATTACGGACAGTTTGCTTTGTCCTTGAGGAAAGAAGGCCCATTCATTTTTTAAAATTCGTCCCGCTTTATACGGACACACCCCATTAATGCGGACACTTTCTATGGCCCCCTCAGTGTCCGTATTAAAGGGATTTGACTGTAAATTTACTCCCTTTATTACAATCTGTCGCTAATGAGCAAGGACACTATCTCGTGGTCCCTTCAGTGTCCACAATAAAGAGCCTGGGAGAGCTCACTTTACTCGACGAAAAACCCCTCGGAGCTACGGTGTGAACTAACAAATTCAAGCACGGAGGCGGCTATGCCGGACCTGCAGGATACGCCGGGGTAACGAGGAGAATTACACTTACTGTCCTGCAACAAACTCGTTTTTTTCGGGATCTTCAAGTTGTATATCTTCAGTAGTGCCTTTGGTACCAAGGACCCTTATCCACACGCCTGCATCAGTTCCAGCGTAGAACCACAACTTGGTTCTTACTGCAACATGGTAAGCTGAAAATGAAGCGGCAAGAGTTTGCTTATTTTTATTTTTTCAGTATAATCAGCACGTCAAAATGAAACTTTTGCATTTCGAATATCGTACACTTTTTAATGAACCTTGTTGATGTAAAATTTAATTTTACCTTGCCAACAAAACACATTTTTTTAGGTTAGTGTGAGAAATTGATAATCTTCACCCTGTCTATTTCCTAATGATGGCATGTTCTTCGAAACCTTCGAAAATAGCTACGAATACCCACTCGGGGTGAGGGAGGGGGGGGGGGTGGGGTGGTGAGAAAAATGCTCATTTCGGTCAAACTGCTTGTAAAATACGTTATAATAGTTTATGCATTAAGTTCGGTACATGAAAAGTTCGGCGTCTGAATCAAAGCCGTTCCATAAAGTCGCTCCAAAGGCGAAATTCCCGGCCGGCCTAGGCGAAAAGAACGGCTGAACCGTTCCAAATTGAAACAGGCGTTCCTAAATTATTCAGACGCCGAACTTTTCATGTACTTAATTCAATGCATTAGGTTCGGCTCATGAAAAGATCGGCGTCTGAATCGGGCCTAAGGAAACCGATCTTGAGGTGGCTCAGGCTTTTTATGACCCCTAAAAGAGATCCTTTAATTTGTTGTTGATATTTGCCCTGTTAGCTAATTCAATTTTCTTTGTGGTCAGAACATAGGACATCATGCGAAAGCGGGGTGAGGGAAGTTCATACATGAAATAATTGATTGAGGTAAAGGTACGCATACGATATAACTGCAACTCAGAGAAAATAACAACGAAATCAAAAACAGGTATTTTAAGACATTTTAGGATTCAGGAACTATAATAACGCGGAGAATACCTTTTTTATTTTATTTGAATCAATAGACGGGAGCCCATATTGCTGAGCGAGCATCTCCCATGTACTTATGTCCGCAGGGTCAGGGGGGTGGCAACTGGCCACACCCATTTCATAATACTGTCGAACCACCGCTAACGACCACCTCTCTACAACGGCCACTTTTTTTCGTACCGGCGGACGAACATTGACCCTTGTTTAAACCTCGCTACAACGACCACTTTCGTCTGTCCCTAAGGTGGCCGTTGTAGAGAGGTTCAATTGTAGCATTTAGACTAGTGAAAGGTCACACGCAGATGACTTCAGGACTCATGCTCTTGCAGGACTATAATTCCAAATTGAACCATTGCTATGTAGCTGATAGTCAGACCAATAAAATAGCAACAAGTAGCTGTACCTATATAGTGGAGTGTAAGCCACGCGGGCTAATTGTAAGAGGACAGCATTTCTTGCTTTTAGTCAAGCTAAATTAATGACAACTTACCGTACATCATGGAACTAGCTGATCTTCTTCCCGACCACCCATTTTCTGGGCAGTCTCGTGCATACTAATGACGGTTTTATGTATGGTTCTTTACAATTGTTTTGATTAGTGTCACGCCACCATTGATTTGTTATTAGACTTCAATTAGTTTTAAAGGTATTAGTTATTACAGTCAACTCCCTTTATAGGGACCTCGAGTTAGTGTCCTCTGTAGCGAGAGTCCGTAATAGCAGGAGTTTATTTCAGTCAAACGTCTGCAATTTACTTTTGCCTGGGATTTAGCTACTGTCTGTATTATCGAGGTGTCCGCAAGATGAGAGTTGACTGTACTTGAACGCCGTATAGTTGTAATAGACCGACAGAACCTATTCCAGTGTCTTAGTGCTGGTGTGAGGAGGAACGTCCGCGACTCAGCGACAGAAATTCCATATTGATGACGTAAAATCTGTTCGGAATCCGGTCAGAAGCACTGATTGGTCGACGGAGTAGTTACATTGTTTTAGCTATTGTTTACAACACTTTGCCAAAATCGACCATAAGACTCGTAAAATGGGACAAATTTATGTTTGGAACCTGGACAAAAGGACTAATGAACTAGCGATGGTGGTGAAAGACATTCGTGCGTTAAGGGACTCATTCGAGCCCTGATTGGAAGAAGTGTGATGGAAATTTGCATGGACCGAAATTAAAAACTCTAGTGTTAAAAAATATAAGTCAGAACAGTTTAGAACTTGGAAGGACTTGGACAGAGAGACAATTTTCGATTAATAGTTTTTGAATGCGCTTGGTAGTTTTTTTGTGAACTTGAATTCGGTCAAATTGTAAAATTCGTAGCTAAGATTTTGTGTACAATTTTTGAATATAGTTCATTCTCGTGAACAGAACCTCGTGACAACCAGATCTATTATGTAAACATTGATTTGCGTCACCATTATGGAATTTCTATCGCTGAGTCGCAGACGTTCCTCTGCGCGAAACGTCCTAGCGGCGAAGACCGCAGAGAAACGGATGTTTTCGCAGGCTACCTCCATTACTCCGGTCGTTAATTTGGCCTATATAGAACTGATGTATCCCAAGTTAACCTGAAGTTTGCGCAGTGTAACCCTGAAACCATTAAACAAGAAAAATTCAACTTACTTTTTTCAGCATCTGATGATAGGAAAAAATTCAAATGGAATTAATATACTGGTTTAACACGCATCAAAGATTAAATTTCTTATAAATTACTTTTAATTACTTTTTTCAATTAGTTACTTCCCACTTTTAAACGTTTCACTGAAAATAGTCATTATAAAAATAATGAGATAAAAACGCCCACTTTTTTAACCATGCAGCCAGCGTTTTTAACTGTTGACAAATGAATTGATCTGTCTCCAGCATGACTTGAGCTGTATAGCGTACTTTCCACGTGAAGAAAACGCGTTGAACCCTTGTGTGACGGTAATAAATGTCATTTGTAACAACTGTCGTACTTTGTAATGTTTTTTTTTCTTTTTTCGTAATTTGTGGTAACAAACACACTGTGATTCCTTTGTGAAGGAGCTGTTGCTGCAGTTGTATAACTATCGGTTTGCGTCGCATTTTCAAGCATTTTTATTAAGTAAATATGAAAACCGATCATAAATCTTAAGTTTCCATCTTCGACTTTTTGCCATCTTTTCTTCAATTTATGTAGCTCTTGCCTGGAGTTCGTGGAGGCCTAATCTCTTATAAGCTCCTATAGTTTCTGTTTGGTCTCTTTGCCACTTCTTTTTTCTGCTTTTCGTATATTATTTGTAATTTCTATCATTGTGTGGCAAATAAAATAACTATAAAATAAAATAAAATAATGAAATAAAATAATAAAACTCTTACACTACTTATTTGCGTTCTTTCTATATTTATCGCAATAATTCGAATTTCAACTTGCTCTGTTGTCAACAAATATTCAAATATTCCAGAACTTTTTTATTTTTTAACCGTATCAATGTTTCGTGGTTTGTGTTGACAACCTTTCTCAAAGACCACGAGAGGAGAAGGGTAAAGGAATGTACCAAAAAGTAACTTATAGTAAACTGGTACCAAAAGGTGTATTTTGGAAGATTCGAAAATGGTCAATTACATGAAACAAGCTAGCCCGAAGCCGCCATATTAACATACATTCTCGTTCCCATAGCTGCGGTCCTTGCGGTCAGCGCCACGGATCGAAAGCTTTGGCCTGGAACAGCGCAAGAGCAATAGTTTCACTTTTTGGTAGTCCGTTTCTGAGGATGCCAAGAAAACCAGAAGGCATTGTTTTGTCCGTACACTTCAGGCTTGGGCTCCAGTCAGAGCTCACGGTGGCGCTGACCAAAAACGATCGGAGTTCTGTGGACAAGAATGGTGTAAAGAGAGTGGAAGCAGTGCGCATAAGCAGCTCGTTGTCTGCTGACCTGCTGTTTTCTGTTTCTGGTTTGATTACATGTAAAATTTTCTATCCGGTTAGCGGGGATTACGGTGTCAAACCGATGTATTGATTTTTTTGTGTTAATTAGAATGCCGAAATCTGGTGCCTTTCTTGTTAAACGAATCAGCCCCAATTGCTAAGAAAAGATGAGGGCGCGGCCTCGAAAATATAAGGGGGGGGGGGATCACGCCTCTTCCTCCCTCCTAGTCAGCCAATGAGTCCAGCTAAGGTTATCAACCCCTTCTCTGGTCAGTCATGGTTTCAGAACTGCTTTAAGCTAATGCAGTAAGTTAAGATATACCGCACGTACCGTAACGCCGGTGCATGGTCACACTCCTTACTTATAGCTTCAGTTACCCAAATAACCAGTGCAAGCGTACACTACAAAAAGCTTTCTGGTAACTAAAAATTCAAGTTAATAAGATTTTACGAAGAAAAATACGGCAGCTAAAGGCAAAGAAAGGTTCAACTGGACAATTTCACCTCTGCAAACATCACCATCCGCCTCATATCCGATCTTGCACGTACAGTTAAATGAACCCCTGGTGTTGGTGCAATCGGCGTTAACATCGCAATCATGTGTTCCGTCTTCACATTCATTTATATCTAGAAGGAATAATACCATATTGAGTCAAGAAACTGAGTTGGAAATATGGCTTGCAAAGTAAATTGATGAAACACCTAGACTTGCATACGTCTTCAAGTGGGACCGGATCGCCATCGTATTCCACCCTCTCCCAAGTAATTTCCAATGTGCCTCTGAGGAAGCATCAGGGGAAGCGAAAGGGGAACTGAATCTCTAAGAAGAAGGAAGTGAAGTACTTGGATATTTGCAATGCATTTTCATGTGCGTGCATGGGTTACCACAATCGGTTCCTTCTTATAGTATGTACAAAACCAAGATAGAATGATCTTGACAAAACTTTGCTGCTCGCCCACAGGCCTCCCAAGCTCACGTTACGAGCTACACATGCAATAAAGCCAAAAAGTCGACTAAATCGATGAATTCACACCAAAAAACACAGGAATTCATCAAAAGTAAGTCTCTTTTACTCATTTCGCTGAAAAAAGATAAAATATAATAATACTTAGCTTTCGCAGACCTCAGTATTATATCTCACATACAACGTCCCAACGGTCGCCGGTAACGAGACGACAAAGTAAATTTCATTACACTCTCACAGCTTGGGACGCCTGTGCTCGCCTGATGCCCAGAAGTCGAAGCTCAGAACATATATCACACCAGTACCCAATTGGCTATGGCTACCGATCAAGGAACGAATCTCGTACAAAATACTATTTCTCACGTATAAAAAAAACTATGTATGGCATGGCTCCAAAATTTATATTGCTGATATTTTTCAGCGCTCTAATCTGACTAGGCAACTCAGATCCTTTTCAAACAATCTCCCTGCAATACGAAAATCTAATCGGAAGTCGGCTTATGGAAACAAATTACATCGATATTTTCAAGTTGCTGCCCCCAGACTTCGGGAATGCATTACATAACAGCATAACTGGATAAATCCAATCTTTAAACGTTCTTTAAGGAACTTTTTATTCTTAGTTGTATTTCATATTTTGGCTATAGACGAACCCGAAGCGTTTTTCTCACGTTTTAAGATCCCAGTTCTCTAGATCTGAAAACAACAGAATTTTTAATTTTATATTGGTATTTGTTGAAGTATTGTAAAGCGCCATGACCTTGAGCGGGTAGTTTAGAGGAGGGGAAAGTAGACTGGTGCGCCTTTTGACCGCTCTGTTTGGCCAGTTTTTGATCCGGCTCCCCATGAATCAGTCACCGAAACGTTTCATTCGTGTTGAGCGATAAGCTCTTTTAAAATGTGTTTCATGCTTCCCTTTCGACGCAGTACAGGCCAAGTCAAACGTGGCGAGCCAATCAAACAAAAAAAAGTGGTTTTAACTCAGCCTGCGCTGCGTCGGTTTCCATGTTCTCAGGACGGCTTGAAACTTTACAGAGAAACTTGCCATCAAATCCTGTTGGCCGGTTTTTCTTTTAGCATTCGTTCCTTATGAACTAGAATTTTGTTTACAGGCTAGCAATGAAATCGTAAGCTGCTTCGTTTTTTGTTCCCTTTCAATTCTGTCTATTGACTATTTCATTAACATATTGTGCAATTTCAAATTTGACGAAGTTCTTACCGCTTTCACAGTTCTCACCGGTGAATCCTGAGAGACACTGGCAGCGATATTTTTTGTGTGTATATCCAGATTGGCAGGTAGCATAGTTTTCGCACGGGTCTGCATCACAGGCACTCTTAACAGAAAGGGAAAGAAAATATTGAGTTCGGCCATAGACTATTCACCCTCTGAGTCCCCTATTTTTCCGTAAGGTCGTCAAGACTTGAGCGCTATAGCCGGCTATCGTGACCGAGCCTAACTTAATAATAATAATACTAATACTAATACTAATAATAATAATAATAATAATAATAATGATAATAGTAATGATGATAACAATAATAATAATGTTTTTTTATATTGCGCATAATTTATGAACGTCTTTGCAAATAAATAAGTCTTAAGGGATCTTTCAAAAGTGTCAATAGTTGTTGCTTGTCTAATATTTAAAGGCAGACTGTTCCATAACTTTGGAGCAGCAATCATAAACGCGCAGTCATCCATTGTCTTTTTCGTTTTTAATGTGCTTCTCGCCACTGGTGACCCAAGCTCGAAATATGACCATCGGCACTGTTGCGCAATGTTCAAAATATAAGGATTTTTATGGGAGAAAAACAATTGTTTCCGTAGCCGACGAATGTAAAGGTGTTTATATAAAAATCGGCTAACCTTGCTTAAGTTGTGTGTTTCTTCTTTCCTGCGTGGTTTTCGAGCCGATTTATGGCTATTTAATAGGTGTTATTGGAACCGGTTTGCTCTCTATTATAATAGAAAAAAAAAAAACCGGTTCCACACCCTAGCCAGCTGTTGATGAGTGCCAGTCAATAGAAACTCCGTCTTGTCATCATTTAGCCACAACATGTCTTCTCTCATGCAAGCACGCACATCAAGAATGCAACTGTCCACGGCAGACACGGCTTCGAGTTCGCTTAAGCTACCAGATGGTCTGAACCCATATATAGCTGAGTGCCATCGGGATAAGCATGCGTAGAAGGTAGATGTGAACGTAGCATTACAAACAGCTTGCTAGTATGGATCGTAAATAACAGCGGAACTGAGTATGAAGCCCGTGGAAGACCGCATTCTAAAGCAAATCTGTTTTAGAGGGTGCCGTTAACCGAAATACGCTGCCCTTTTCCCTCTAGGTAAGATTGAAACCAGGAAAGCGCATTACCAAGTAAGCCCAACAGTGACTGCAACCTTCGTAGCAGGATGCCATGATTAACCGTGTCGAAGGCTCAGATCTAATAATACAAGAAGTGTCTCGTGGCCCTTATCCAAGTTTATGAGTAAATTGTTCTTTACCTTGATCAAAGCAGTTTCGTTGGTATGATTTTGTTGGTAAGCACTTTGCAAACAGGGTAGAAAGTAATTCAGAATCCACCATGTGACTTTCGATCTGAGTAGCCCCAGCCTTTTCCTCTAGCTTAGGTATTCACTGAAGATTACTCACCGATCGAAAGTTCTTATTGATGGGTTGGAGACCATGTTTCTTGAGTAGAGGGTGTACTAAGGCACACCTCCAATCATTAGCAAAGCAGGCAAAGTATCCAGTTTTTAAAAGATGACTAGCATAAAGCTTAAAGATGACTATCTCATCTGCTACCGCTATAAACCCCGACACCCACCCCCAAGATAAATTGGAACCAATTACTGCTAGTGACGGTGAGCGCTTGATCTTGACGATCTTAGGGAAAAATAGAAGACTGTCGAACAGTCCATGAGTTCCAGAACAATTATTTTTACGATCAATTAGAAATCATACAGGGGCACCCAACGACTTTTTTTCTGTAAAATAATTGCCCTCCCCCCCCCTCCCCAGTCGAAGGAGCAACTATTGCCAAAAAAACAAAAAAACAAAAAACAAAAAACAATCTACCCCTAAGACATCCCAACAGATAAATATATTCTTACGGCAGCTCAGAATTAACCAAACAGGCTTCTAAAGCCAGGCGAAACTATTGAGACACTTCTGATGTATTTAGAAATATTCGGTGGGTGGGTGCCCCTGATCATAAGGTAGAATTACCCACCTCTGCTCCTCGGTATAAGTAGCCATAATTATCCATGAACTCATCATCATGTCTTCGATGAGTTGAGTTGTTCAGCTCACAGCTAAATGTTCCTTCAGTGTTTGCTGTAGTTTTGAAGTTCATACTCACACAATTTGGCTCGTAGTAACAAAGGAGCTCACAGAGGCTTAAATCTTGGACTTGCTCAGTTCTGATCGTGTGGTTTAGCAAGCGTTTATCTGCGTAGAACAAAAAACTAGGGAATGCCAGTATACGACATTCACCTGAAAGAAACAAAATATTTAATTTTTATGCATGATTCTGGGTAGACATTATAAGAGCTGCCAAAATAAAATTTAGTATTCATGTCCCCTTTCACGAATATGGTAAAATAATACCAACTCCGAGTGCACTTAATGTCAACAGCCAAGCTTAGTTTGCTACAGTGCATATAAAATAGCAACAACCCGTTGGGATTAAAATTCTGGCCATTCCAGATGGCCGCTTTCATTTACATGACTGAGAAATCCAAGAAATAAGAAACTAGAAGTAATTTATTTAAGCTCTTGCAAAGATGAGGGCCACGATAAAAGGCAAAACTTAATGTAAACCAAAAACTTAATTACACATTGGAGGAAAAATGGGGTGGAGGTGGGTTGATTTCTTGAAAATCTGAAGATTGAGCTTGCAAATTGTGAGTGGAATTGAAGTTGTTCACACCTTATAACTCCTCGAGAAAGACGATCATACGATTGTGTAATTTTACTGGGAACATGGAGAGTAAATTTAGTGCACATGTTGAGTAAATGTACGGAACGAGGACTATAGTAATTTTTATTGAACGTGTTCCAGGGATATAAGTGGTCCCTGAGATCTCCTGACTATCTTGTGATCGTTACTTTACATGACTGTACTTTTTGCCTGTTATATAATAAGTAGCAAAGGCCAAGAGAATCACATGTACATGTCGACGAACATTATCAGATCACCAAATCAACCACCTCGACCCTACTTTAAACTGTGTAAATAACTACATATTATTGTGTAGGTGACATAAAATTTTTTATTTGCGAGCAAATAAACTCATATATTTTTCAACATCGTTGGAAAACAAAAGCAAAGGAAATATCTGTCCGCCGGACGTCTCTGACTGGTCTGTGATTACAATACTAAAGTATCAAACCTAATTTTCAGCCAATCAAAAAAGAACTGTATCAGACCAACCTCGTTACCAGTCATCCTCAGTGAGTTCAGATGTAATGTTTCTAGCAAAGCTTGTTGGGAACTCAGTTCCGAACTTTCTCCACTCACTGGCGTTGCGGGAATTGCCCTGGATACGAGGCTGGTATAAGACACATTGTTTCTAAGCCAATCTGTACTTTTTTAATCATTAATTTTCATCTGCAAATAAATGTATCAAGTTTATCGTTCTGTCTTCTCGCAAAGACAAATTTAGAGAAATATAAGAGCGAGCGAGAGAGCACGACTTTATGTTAGCGGGATTTTTTCGGATTTTTCTTGGAAAAAAATAAGGAAATCATGAAGCAACACTAAACACTAAACTCGATACTGCAGAAATTATCCTTTGATAGAAAGCTCCGTAGATTAAATGTTTTCTTAATGAAAAACGAAGAGGAAGTAGAGACTAGCACGAAAGGACAATAACTAGCGTCCAAGATAATGAAGTTGAAAATGACATGAATTTGAACAATAGCTGGTGGTTTTTGGGAGAGCACCGACCATATCACTGCTTTTAATGAGTAACCGTCGTGATATTATTTCTTCTCTTTTATGTTTGAAGTTTCCCTCTTAAAACAGCTGCTGTTAAAATGTTACTGAATTTCAATATAGTTTACTTACGAATTTCCAGTAAGTCCTACTGAGACATTATACACGTTTTTTTTTTTGCATCCAACTGCCCCGTCGGCAAAATGCTTAATTATTGTTGACAAGAAAATTTATCCTTACAATAGCTTGAGCACGAAGTATATTTCTTTCACATAAGCGAAAACAAACAGGATTATCGTATTAGCACGGATATTAAACCCTTTGCTAACCGTTTTTATTTTAATTGGAATCAAGAAACTTAACATTATAATGAGTCCATTTCTTGACTAGTATACACACTTTTGCTCCCAATTAAACAGCCGTACTTGTAGTATGTTTGGCTACAAAACTAGTGACTCTCGAGGAAATGTCCTATCGACGTCGTCCTTATTATCCCAAAAAGTGGTGCATGTATATGACATTGCAGCTAAAAGTCTATATATTATTTCTTCCGCAAAAGGTAAAAACAAAGAAGGCTTACGTCTTCAGAAAAAGTTTTGAAGGGGCCTTGTTAGGATAAACGTGGAATCTATTTACCGCGTATCTACTTAATGGCAGTATGGTGAGAGGAAAAATATTGAGTAGTCATTATCAATATCTTTTATGAAGTGCAAAGTGTGGAAATATATCGATCGGTCTAAGCCGTCAACTCTTGCCTTGTGAATTCTAGGTAGCTACAAAGAGAAGAGCCCGTACGTACAATAAAACAGTTCTCGATACAAGAGAGATAAAATGGATTATTATAAACTATTATTTACGATGCAAAAGTAAACTGGTTAATTAATTTAATACTGAGGTCTGAGATCACATGCTGTTGTTATGGTACTAGTAAAGTACGTTTTGTTGTGCCCCTTTCATGAATATCGCGGCTTATCTTAACTTAACACCACCTTGGACTCGACCGCCTTTTTAAAATACAGTGAACTCAGTGCAGAATGATATATTTTGTAGCCCGATTTCGTTCCATTGTTGCTCAGTAACAGCAGCTGTTTCTTGGTTTCTAAATTGTATCACGAAACTTGAATTTGTTTTTGTTACGTCATTTGTAGGTTTATTCTATCCCTTTTATTATCAGTTTGCAGTGAAAACGGACACCGATTTTTCTTCAAGCCAGCTTTCAAATAAATACTTATAGTTACGTTCACGTATTTTAAAGCCAAGGAATTCACGGCGAAAAGGACTCGAAGAACTTACCATCTTGACAAGCGGAGACAAAATTCACTGACAACAACAGTAGGTTAATGCAAAAGCAAAGAGACTGTCTCATATTGCTGAGTACAGGGTTGAGTAACTTGTCAATAAAAAGTTTAAATGGTGAACTAAATAGGTCGCATAAAATTAAATAAGTCTTTCCATGAAGGCGCTCATCATGGGGTAATAGCTAGGCCCAGGGCCACACGGCTAAAGGTTGATCATAAATATTAAACAAAGGAATTCGTGAAAGAGTTTATTTGAAAGTCAAAAAGGTTTTTGGGCCGTAATTCAAGCATATAACTTTTGTAAATGCTGCAGCCATATACATAAATGAAATGGACCAAGATTGCCACAAAAATACCTTTGTATTGTCTTACCCAGTATCTCTAGGTTAGATCCTGGCGTTATTACGTAAAGCAGTTGGTGTCAGGTGTTTTGATTAAAAAAGGGACCCAGTCGGAAGATTCCCAGAGGAATGCTAGCTGGATGTGATTCGCTAACTCGACCCCAAAGTACGGCGAAACACAATGTCTAGCTGTGACTTAATTTAGATTCTTACAAATTCGTATTCATATGTTTGCCGGTTCTATTTACTAATAATACAATCAGAAAATAAATCCCAGGAAGCTGACTTATTCGTGTTACTCCTAGACCATGATTTCATGCCGAGTTGATTTGTAACCGTGGTCTAACTTTCAAATTTGTGAATAAAATCCTATAGTGTTACCATTCATATGAAACCTCTTTCAACGAATTTCTGTATGTTTTTTTTTCTCCTGGTTTATTCCAAAAAATGGATGAATCGATTTTGCGTGAAGTTTTCATTTAGGTTGCTGTTAGGAAGTAAAGAGCTTAAAATTTACCGTCTTTCATTCATTCGCCATACATTACGATCTCGACATTGCTGATTCTAGCAGCATGCAGGACGCCAGTCAAATATGAACCTAGTATATGGCCTCGCTCTCCTTGAGTTCTCCGCAACTCAGTGGTAGAGCGCACGCCCCGTGTTTGGGAGGCCATAGGTTCGAATCCTGTTGCGCACTCAGATTTTTTCTTTGTCCTACGCTGGTGACATGCTGATTATTTCATCTTCACATTTGTTCACCGAGCTTAAAATTTACTTTCTTCCATTCTTTCACCTTAAATATTTATTTGAAACATTTTTGGGCTTTCTCTTTCTTGGGGATTTTTTTCATGAATCAGTTCAAACATTAATTAAAAGCTCGTTTGTATACAAGTTTTTAGCTGTGAATCTCAAACACACCTTGCTTTGACTCGTCAAAGTAATAGACCGATTTCGATAAACGAAAAGTAAAATAACTGACTTAATTCCGTGGTTGGCAGAAACCGAAACATTCTTAAGGACTCATTCTTGAACCTCAATTTCATTTCTTTTTTTTCTGAGCCTCGCAGTAAATGGAAATCTGTTTATTACAAGCAATTATTACTTATTGGATCGTTATTTCATGTTTTATACAACTAGGTGATAAGTTTTGCGAAACAGAATAGCACAGCTGTGGAAGCAGGAATTTTTTTCCATGGTTACCTGATGAACTTGGATTGTCCAGCTGGGGACAAAGTGAAAAACAGTATCCAATAATATGAACTTATATGCAGAGTAATGAAAATAATTTTATTTTATTTCTCGCTGGAAGAGTCACTTAACGGGATTTATTTCACAGGAGAATAAGATGGTGTTGTTGGTGTTCTGGTTTCTCTTACTTGGCTCCAGTTCTACTCAGAGCAAACGTAAGCTTGGGTCTTTTGATGATGTAACTTTCTCCGGACTGTAGAGATTTGAGTTACCGTATTTTTAGCAAAGCAGTTTTAAAACAGAGCGACAATATTTTAGCAACAATAATTCTTAGCCCTGCCAAGCCCTTTTAGTTGCTTAATTAGCTTGAATTATTGATTACAAACGATTCTTTCATAACGGGCAACTCCCTAAAACTGATGGTAAAATTGGGCCCTGCCATTCTGTTTTTCACTCCAAGATGGACAGTCACAAGATGCCTGCGTAACACTTTCCGTCGTCAGTAGAGAAAATTGACTATTTACTTAAGATATATATAAAGGTAAACAATTTATACCCAAAATATCTAAAACTTTACTCTATCCTTAAAATTGAAATGACAAAGAACTGTTTGTTCCTCTAGGTTACACAGTCATCGTTAAAACTTCAAATGAACTTGGTTCCGGCACGGATGCGACTGTGAAGATTAAAATAAAAGGCACGAGGCTGAACTTAGCCGCAAGGGAGTTAAAAGGCAGCTTTGAAAGGCGCAGGTATTATGTCTACTTTAACGAATATTGGATCCATTCCATAGTCCCCATAAAAGTCGGGAAGTACCTCCTACTTCACCCCCTTGTTGTTTTTCCTTGTCACATATCCCTTGCGTCTCCGCCCTATCATCTGAAACGCCTAGAACAGGCTAGTCAGGAAGACACAACTTAAATGTTCTGACAAGCCTGATCTTGATACTAGCCAAATTATCACATTGTTTACGGGGTTTTCCCATAAATCAGGATCAACTTCTATAATTAATACATCATTTTCCCCAGAGACATTGGTATAGTCATCCTTAGTAGTCAAGAAATCCATTAACTCAGATGTCCTGACGGGTTTTTACTATTTAGTCACTCAAAACGAATGTCCTCATAATGAGTATCAAATATCTCTAATATTCTTAGGCCACATAATTTTGAGATAGAATATAATTTGTCTAATTATCCTGCAGACCGCCGGAAGTTTTCCAGTTCTCCGACTGGGACTTGGGATATGTTATGGGACTGGACGTTTATCGTGGTAATCAGGGTCGTTTTCCTGATTGGAACCTGGACTATGTAAGCGCCCGATCCCGAGGCTTCTCATGAGCTTATTTAGTGTTGCATCTATCTTCCAAACCAAAAATCCAGAACACAAATGCTTGCCCTTGAGATCTCAGTCATCAAGGAAATTATGCTATCGCCGCAACTGTCTAACCTGTGTCTAACTTTCCAACGACCGGATGGGTGGTAGCCGCAAAAGCTGCTTGTTTATGCTCGTATTGTTGTAGCCGCCATCTTTGATTTTATGACAGAGGGAGATTGGGGAGACCATTTCCTTCTCTCTCTTTTGGAGTTCCAGCCCCGGGGGGGGGGGGGGGGGAGCTCTACCTGTGTTTTATCTATCAACGACCGGGGGGGTGGGACGCGGCAAAGTTGTGTTTTTTTGCTTGTGTTGGTGGGGCCGCCCTTTTTTATTTTTGGCGGAGGGGGGTTTGGGGGGACCCTTTTTTTCTCTCTTTTTTGGGGTTGCCCCCCGGGGGGGGGGGGGGGGGTACTTTAGGAATTTCTGGGTGGGGCTGTGCCGCTGGCACCCTGGAACCCTTAACCTATATCAGAGCTAGTTCAGCTGAATTTTTCTACCCTATACTAGAGTAAACTCCCCAAATCCCCCCTATCCTTGAGTAGCTGTTTTCCAGAAACTAGTGAGGTCACTAGCACAGTCTAGCCAAAAGAAAACCTTATACCGCAATTCCTTGTTTAGATAAAACCTTCAACCAACTGATCAGTTTCCTGAAAAATGATAACCTACTCTAGACCCAAATGTTCTGATTTATATACCCTATCCTAGAGTAAACTGCTTGAAAACCATACCATTTACAGCGGCACTTACCTATATAGCCCATATATGGCAGTACCCCCCGGTGACCCAACATGGAACTTTCGAGAGTAAAAACACTCGCGCGCCAAAAGAAAACGCCTTCATGGACTTACGACCTCCTTTTTTGTATTTTACAGATCTACTCGTGCGGCTTGTTAAGTCTGTATTTTTTGTAGATTGATAGACCAATCCTAAAGCAGAGAGTTAGAACTTTTGGGAAATTACCTTGCAATGTGAATGATTTCAGGAGTCGTGTGGGTTACGCGCGAAGAGGACTGGGGATGAGTCAGGGGTCTCATTTTTCTGCAAAAGATTACTGCAGTTAACTTCTGTTGACAATCAAAAAACAAGTAGTTTAACTTTTTTCTAGATTATCATTAAGATCGCTGGAGCAAAAGACGCCGTATTTAATCACGGTGGCAGGGAGATACACCATGGATGGACAAAACTAACTCGTAAGTATAGTACTGAAGTCTCGGTTTCTGATTTAAACCCTTCTTAACAGTTTGTTTTTTCCTGGTTTCAGTATCTTTAACTTTTCTCATCTGGTAAATGTTTCTTGTAATTTCGCCAAATTACGAAATCGACAAATTCAAAATAGTAATTTGCTTGCATTGTTTCAATGCATATTTTGAACTCCATTATTTCAGTTTAATACAGAGTTCAACATTTTCAATTATAGTTTGCTTGCAGAGGTCACGTCAACATAATTACTGTTTCAGATTTTTTATAGCACCCGCCAGTGCTATTCGTCCGGTACTGTAATGCGGAGTAGAGAATGAGAAGTTACTTATTTGTACTAAGCTTGCTGTTTTTGTTTTAGTTTCCTGCAACGATGGAAACGTTATTAACAGTCAAGGCTATTGTGATGGTATTGTATCTGGTCTAATTATTTCCAAAGCATCAGCATTAGTCTCCCTTGCCCTTGACACTCGTGTGCTCTAGACATTTTCATGCATACCTTGAAGAATGGGCACATTCGTCGGTCAAGACAAAATATGACTTTTTGAAGCCTAACTTTGAAAACAAACACCAATGTATGTTATTTTATTCGTGTGCAATACCATAATTATGCAGCTGATCAAAGGACTGGAAAACTCAGGAGCAGCCAACGTCAATTTTCGGAAAATATCTGTTCGGAAGAAGATTTGAGATCTAGAATTTTCGGAACATTTTTTGCAAAATTTCTTGCTAACCTGCCTCTCCTAGCATTTTCGAACAACTAAAAATTGGTATAATTGCCCATTTTTAACGGATTTTTACCCTAGAAAGGTCACCTAGAATTTTCGGGAGCCCTTTTTCTGGCTGTAATTTTCGAAAAGGTAAGTTTTGATCCCTATAATTTTCGGATCACTAGACTTTCAGCTAGGAAATCCGAACAGATCAAAAATTTTTAGGAGATGCAAATATGCCTACATCTACTGTTTAAATACTAAAATACATGTAACAACACTATGTTTAAGCGGTTTTGAACTATATTCTCGTTGGGTGCCCCTGAAAACTGTTTGTGGTTGTAATGCCTTGATAAAGTAAAGGTTATCCTTGTTTTTACACAAGGGGCAAATTTGAGGCAAATGCGGCATTTACCACCTTTGTCATTAATGCAAAATTATGGCAAGTTTGGTCCTACGTCATGAGGCAAAATTGAGCAAAATTAAGCTAATGTGGCTTTTGCAGATGGTTTGCTCCAAATTTGCTATAGAGGTAAATCCGTTTTTTCGTCCAGTGAATGATGCGAAGGGAAGCCCCGTCTTTTCATACTTTATGGGAAAGTCTGATTGGAAATCATAAAACTGACAAGATTGCCATTGCATTGCGCATGAGCTGAACGTTACTGGGCTCGATTACCAGGAGCTGTTTGGAAAAATGAGCCTGGAATATTTTTTCAAATTACGTCACTTATAAGTTTAAAAGTGCCCGCGTCGAGCGCGTGTAATCGTAAATCTCAAGGAAGATTAAAGACCGGACTCGGGAGAGAGGGAGAAAAGTTACATACTTACATTACACCGTGCAAACGTCTATAGTTTAATTGTTTAATTTTTTCTTTTCCTTTCATCACTGAATACCGTACATATAGTGGCAGATGTGGACGAATGCAAGAAACCTTATACTTGCATCTCACCAGCAAAATGTGAGAATACTGTGGGATCATACAAGTGTCATTGCCCTAAAGGCTACGTTTTAAAACCCGGAACTAACAACCAGTGTCAAGGTGCAGTTTTGTAATTGGTGTTTGTTATCATCAGTACCTGAAAGAGTCTAGGGTTGTTTCCCTACCTTGCCTGGGAGACACCTAAAAAATAAAACGCGACTGATAAAAGTTGCTTGTTAGAAGAAGACACGAAAGAGGGCTTCCACTCTTCCGCGCTTGCCCTCCTCTCCCTCCACCCGTTCTTATTTATTAGTTGTTTATTTATCAGTTTAGTTCTAAGTTTATCGTGTGATTAACCGTGGATAATCACGATACGGTCCAAGCTATATTCAGTAGATAAAAAGTACAACAGTCACAGAATTTTTGAACTTGTAAGCGTGTCCCTAGGAGGGCTCCTCATGCTCCTTGTCGCTTTACTCTCAGGTTACATGTGCATTTTCCCTTTCTCTCAAATTTGTTTGTTCTTCTTTTAACAAAAATGGTTGCTAAGAACGGACACTTCTTGGTTTAAAGAGTTAATTAACGGAAAAAATGATCAGGATTGTTACTACTCGTGGAGGCGTATGGGCGCGCGAGGAGACACGCGAGGGGAGAGGGAGTGTCTCGTGTCCCCCTCATGTCTCTCTCTCGCGCGTATCAAGTCATATCATTATTTAACTATGATTCACACAATTTGATTGCCGTTGCCCTTCAGATGTCAACGAATGTTTACGCCGGGGTCCTTGCAATTACAGGAGATCTACCTGCCAGAATATTCCCGGAGACTATCGTTGCAATTGCAAAGCGGGTTACAGGAATAAGGATACCAAGACCTGTATTAGTAAGTAAAAGTATGAACTGGAAATTAGCTCTCTGTTGTGTACCGTTTAAGTGAGAGCGTACTGCTAAACTGTGTATCTTAATGGGTATGTTGCGTAAAAGCTTTAGTAGTCGGGTCAGCACCCCCACCCCCTGATATCCTCCAACAAGAAGATTCCTCATTTTCTGGTAGATATGTTAAATGTCCCGGCGCTAAGCCGCAGAGAGTGTGTACTCATTGGGTGCCTCTTTTTCTTGTTTTTTAGATATAAATGAATGCACTATGGGTATTGATTCATGTGACAAGACGTCATCAGATTGCATAGACTCAGATGGAACCTTCTGGTGTCGTTGTAAGAAAGGTTATTATCAGGGAGCGAACAACAAGCTCTGTGTAGGTAAGTTGTTTTAGATGTTTTTCGCAGAACGTATTTGCGTATATGCTGCATGACTCAAGCTATGAAACTCTCATTGTGTTCGGTGCGCGATCGAGCTAAAACAATTCAAAGACTGCTCTTTTTCATAGTGTTTCATCAAAAAATACGTATGTGAGCCTCGCTCAGGGGTCTTTCATCTTCCCACCACAAGGCCCAGAGAACGGGAAGAAGAGAGACTCTGGGAAGGAGGCTACTGTAACACTCGTAAGCCGTACAGTAATTCGTGCTTTTTTTCATAAATACATATCACATTCGCATAATTACAGGTGCATGTACAGATTTGACACTTGAAATGATGGTTTATCCATAATAAAATCACTCGGTGCAACAATGAAGACTCAAACACGTGAAAGTAATGAACTGAGTACTGATAAAAAAAAAAAAGTATGGCTAACCACACGGCGAAAGACATGACAGTGATCAAAGACACGGATCTAAACACACTACTTGAGGAAAGAGTCTTTACAGGTAACATGACAATACTACGGCTTATTATGAAGAATACAACAACATAATAGGACTTACCTGACCAATCAAGAGTCACATAGTTGATCCCATCAATTACTACGCTTTTCACAAACATGCGAACCCTAAAGTTCAAAAACCAATTTCACAATTACGTTTTTCGCTGCCGTCAATCATAACTACGATCACAAGCAACGAACCTTGAAACACAGAAACATACAAAACGGATCGAAATTCACTAATCACAAATCACAAACCATGACCTTTTGAACCCGCTAAAGTAAAGTTTTGTTTCCTAAGAGGTCAGTTAAGATGATTGACGGCAGCGAAAAACGCAATCGTCAGTGGCTTTTGAACTTCAGAATTCGCATGTTTGTGAAAAGAGCAGTAATAAAAGGTACACAACTCTTTTTAACTCTTGTGATTAAATTCCTCAGAGACCAGTCGAAAGATGACATCAGTTTTTGCCACCACTTGTTTCATTTGTGCTTACACTCACCCAAAGATTGTATTCCCTAACCTACCTATGTTTTTCTTTTCTATTAGCCGTGGAATGTGGCCCCATAGTACCCCCCGCTAGTGGCACATTTGAGCCTGCGCGCTGCACTCAAGTCAACTCTAATGTCTTCAGAGACAAATGTCACTTGAAATGTCACGAGGGATATGCTATTTCTGACGTCTCACAGGGAACCCTAACCTGCGGTAGTAGAGGGCGCTGGGAGGGAACCGTAGGAACTTGCCAACGTGAGTATAATTACGCCAGGTACACGGAATACGTTTTGCAAGTTTGAATATTTAAGCGACTTATTTCCGAAAGGAAACAGGCACACAAGTTTGCATTTGTTACAAAGTCTGAAAACGTACCTTTTTCCCACTTCCTTTTTCCTCAATTTTAAGTCTAGTTATCACCTCCATTTGGGGCAATATGGGCCAAACAGTTAACCATCAATGTTCTCATGATGGCATATTTACCTCTTCCCTTACTCTGAAGTATCAACCTCGAGAAGGTTTAAAGGTTTTGTCACTTCTCTACGAAAAGCTATCTTACGGTTTAAATTTTTTTCCACTGCTGGGACTGCTCATTCCATCAATGACCGTTACTTAAGGAAGATCATAATGAACTTAAGTCTGTCTGTCTCATTGTTTCACCAGCTGTCTCTTGCCCAAAACTGCCCGCCTTTTCTAATGGAGGCTTACTGCCGTCATCATGCACGTCATCTGGTGGTAAATACCCAAACAAGTGTTCGTACTACTGTTCCAGCGGTTACTCTCTTCAAGGTGGCCAATTCCGACAGTGTCAAGCAGATGGGACCTGGGACGGAACCGCGCCAACTTGTACAAAAAGTAAAGAAGACATGTGGCTTTGTGTTCCATTGCTTTAATTTGTTTGAATTGATCTTATATGAAAACAAATTGTTTTCTTCTTCCCAAGATAAACTGAATTTTTTGTTTAAAATCTTTAATTGAGGCAAGAAAGAATATATTTACAAAATTCAGGATTTTGCATGTGCCTTAAGTGTGTCTTAGATCACTACTGTTTGTTTGATTTTAGTTTTGGCTAAGCCGTGGATCAGATGTCCAGATCACATAATTCTGGACTTACTCCCAGGAAAATCATCAGCTGACGTCAGCAGTGTGTGGAAGGAGCCAACGTCAAACGTTGAACCAGCACAAATAACAATCAGTCCACCTGAAATATCCTCTAGTTACCAGTTCCCGCCCGGCACAACAAAGGTCACGTGGACCGCAAGTAATGTTGAAGGATCGCAACGCTGCTCGTCGTATGTAATCATTTACGGTAATTTCAGCCTTTTTCATGTTCCTTTAAGTGCACCATAATAAATAGAATGACGTGTGTGGAGATAAGAAATCATAAAAGAATTCTGAGTACTAGATGGGAATTGAACCCATGACATTCCAGATACTGGTCAGATGCTCTAACCACTGAGCTACGAAGACCTCCAATGATGAGCGGGTCATTTGTGGGCTGACATAACGATTGCATCTCGCAGTCACATTATGTCAAATAAACACACGATTTAACTGCATCATCAGTCACGTAAGTACTCTCTGAGTGATAAATAATAAATTGAATGATATGTGTGGAGAGAACTCAGAAAAAAAATTCTGGGCATGAGTTCTAGATGGTCATTGAACCCACGACCTTCCAGTCACTAACAACATCATTCTGTTTATGTGGATACGTGGTGATAGAGTGGTTTTCGTTTGAGTGTCGTAAAACCAAAACCAAAGTAATTACTCTGGCCAATCACATAGGACACAGACAATACATTGAACCAATCAAAACTCGAAGTAATTTCATGTGGCTGACGCAAAGCGCGGGAAAATGCATGCGAGCGCGTCACAATTGGCTTTGGTTTTACTTCTGATTGGATGAAAAGGTGGCGCAAATCTTTTAAGCCAATCGCATCGTGTAGAAAGTGAAAAACCAATTACTTTTCGACACTCAAATGAAAACCGCTCTATTGTGTCGACCTAAGCCATTAATCATTACTCTCACTTCAAGATCAGGGACCCCAGGACTGGTAGGACCAAACTGGGTCTAGAATCCAGATAGTTATCTTTTTTTTCCCATAATGATACAGAGTAACACATCTTCACAATAAACTGTTTGCGTTCATTATATTTAGATAAGGAAGCTCCGACGGTAGCAAATTGTCCTCAAGAAATTCTTGAAATAAGCAGTGGTCCCAAGGCGGTGACCTGGGTAGAACCGACCTTCAGGGACAATGTGAAAGTCACAAAAATAGACACCTCACACACTAGCGGCAGCATCTTTGAGATGGGATCCACATATGTCAGCTATACCGCTGAAGACGCTGCTAGGAATACAGCCTTTTGTAAATTCAAGGTCCAACTCAAACGTAAGTTCTAATGGCTTATCTCACTGAATTTCGTCTTCATCGCCTTAAAGTTTTTGTTAAAATGTTACTGAAAGCATTTGTTTCAACGTGTACTCAATATGTTTGCTTAAGTTGTGTGCAAATGTAACGTGTAGCACTAAGACGGTGTTCACACCAGTGTAGATGTTCTCGGGTGGTCCTTTAACGTGGACTTAGGATGTCTCTCAGTTTTGAGACTGAATTTAAGCTGATGTGGTGCCTTTTAGGGCTGTCCAAGGTTTCTAGCCAAAAAGGTTTGAAATTATTTGTTATGTAACAATGGGTATACCACTTAGGAGTCAAATTCCAACACAATTTAATGAACTCTTTAATGAACTTTAATGAACACGTTTAAACGAGTTCATATGAACTCCTAGGTGCTTCGTGGGTAAACAAGCAATTGACAATTGACAATTGACAATTAACTCGAAACTATATTATTTGAGAATGCGTTCTTATTTACACTTTTGTCAGTTGAAAATCATATTTTCCTTTTTTGATCACAAAGCCGAAGATTCCCCTATTTCATGTGATATCACCACTGGTTATATCCTAAAGGGGTATTTTATTTTATAGGGCTAGAGTGTTATGAACCGAACGGGCCTGACGGTGGCACTAAACAATGCAACGAGTTTGGTGGTAGTAAATTCTGCACAGTAACTTGCAATAGCGGAAGTCAGCTGTACCGAGAAGCTGCATCTTACTGGCAGTGTAAGAAAGGAGTCTGGACACCCAATGATGTCATTCCTGACTGCGTTGGTAAGACAAACCCTGACAAACCACATCAGTAGTGCTTTTTATTGAGAAGAAGTGTAGTCGCGACTAGTTTGTGAAGATGGGCAGTGGCACAATGAAAGATAAAAGATAGCGTAAATTTTATAGAGAACATTCTGTTTTAAAAGTTAAGTGACTATGCCCAACATTACTAACAAAGGAGGTGTATCCAGAAACCCTGGGTCAAATATTTTTTAGGCATTAGAAAAGAGTGTAAGGGGTCTTAGTTATGAGAGAAATATTTCGGAAATATAATTTGATGTATTTTTCACTTTTCATGTGGTTTTCTTCACTGATTTTGAGGTAATCAAATTTTAGGTTTTGAGAGAAAAGTCTTTATGCATACGTTACACAAGAAAATTTCACCACCAAGCCTCATTATGAATCAAAAATTAGCCGAGTTTCATAGAAATGAATTCCCAAGGCAGTAGAGTTGAAAAGAATACCCAAGCACAAAAAGTGCAAATGAAAAAAAATTGGTTCACAAACTAGGCTTTGGTGGTGAAATTTACTCGTCTGACGTAGCCATGTATAAGGGTGTATTCTTTAACACACGTGAATTTTCATTCGGTTTGGAAATTAACGAATTTTAACGTCGTCATAGAGTTATAAGATAGTTTGTACGTTGACCTGATAGCGCGTCGGACCAAGATGAAGGTTATTACATTCATCTGCTGGACCTGATAAGTAAATAAAAAACTGAGATAAACTGCAGAAGACCTCAGTGCTTGCACGTTACAAGTTAACGTTGTCGCCCAGTAAAACAAAATGCATTAAGGTCTCGGTAAAGGAAAACGAGGTGCCCACAGAAAAAAATATAGTCGTTCGAGTATTTTCGCTACAAAGGCAAGTTATATATCAAATTAAAGCTAAAAGACTAAATTACCTTATAAAGATTTTGTTTCATCGAATTTCAAAAGGCGCTTAAGTTTTTTGCTCTCGAACTCAGAGGTATCGAGTTTACTGCTGAAGCTCCAATCCTTTTGCGTTGTAAATATTCACTTCCTTTTTATTGCATCTGATTGACAGATAAAAGACCTAAAAAAGGGTGTGACGAATTTGCATATGTCTCGTATTAGCGGAATTATTGCATTTCAAACTAAAAAGTCGAATCTCCAGCGCGATTTACGCAAAGAAACTGACATAAAATGAGTTACAAAGGGAAATCGGAAATTTTTAGGTCTTTTATCTGTCAATCAGATGCAATAAAAAGGAAGTGAATATGTAACAACGCGAAAGGGCTGGAGCTTCAGCAGTATACTCGATACCACTGAGTTCGAGAGCAAAAAACTTAAGCGCCTTTTGAAATTCGATGAAATAAAATCTTTTATAAGGTAATTTAATCTTTTAGCTTTAATTTGATATATAACTTGCGAAAATACTCGCGCGACTAGAATTTTTTTCTGTGGGCACCTCGTTTTCCTTTACCAAGACCTTAAATTGATATTTACGAGACTATTGTAAATAATACTTACATTCAATTTAAAGTAGTATCCTCACGTCTTTTACAGAGGCCAGCCTGAAAGATCCAAATACCTCCTGCCAGGAAAATCAATTCGTGATGAATATCACAAATGTATTTGGAACTAACTTGTACTGTGGTAAGAAATAGAATGGCTGTCTAGTCGTCCATCGCTTGTTTTTGTCGGGGTCTTATAAGAAAGCGAATCTTTATATCTTTAAAGGGTCTTTATGCTTTTTGCAAAATAAATCTCATTGGCTCCGTTCAGTGTTTGACTTCTAAAGACAGAAGGAACTCTCAGTACATATTGATTTAGCCAAGCCTAATAGCGGAGCCTCCGTTTCCTTCACTAAGATTTTGCCTGCAAACAAAAAACTTTAAACCACAGGAAAGTGTTGCACATAAGCTTTCATTTAAGTATACAGTCATAATCACACTTAAGACATTTCATACAGGGAATTAGTAGCTGGGGAGATCTTAAACTACACGGAAGAACTGCTCAAGAATATTTCAGATCGATAAATTGGTCTAAGGGCCTGTTTACATGGAGGTGGGGGATCCCAAGTAGGTGAGGTAACCCGCTTAGGTGGGGTAACCCGCCTGTCCAAATAATCTCTCATTTTAATGTGATCACGTTTACATGTTAGGTGGGGTAACTTGACACATGTTACCTCACCTATCCGGGTTCCCCCACCTTCATGTAAATAGCCCCTAATATCGACACATTCCATAGCTAAATGTCCCACCGGGGCATACAAATCCTCCATTACCGACTGCAACCCTTGTCCTGCGGGATCCTATAATGACCAGCAAGGACAACTGCAATGCACTCTTTGTCCCACGGGAACTTCGTCTCTACCTGGAGCCAAGTCAGCCTTGGATTGTAAAGGTAGGTTTCACTTTGCTCCTCCAAGTTATCCTATTAGTTGACGTCGCTAAATTAAGGAGTTCTGTTATTTCTTTTGTATAATGAGTTTTAGCTTCGCAGTACATGTTTGGAATATACGAGCAAGAGAAATTAAATAATGTTTGTGCTCTTTAGGTAGTAAAGGCTGCGATGTCATAGCTTTAAAGTTTAAAGTAGAGGTCAGGTGAAGCATGACGAGCATAGAGATAAAACGTCATAATCATCACAAAATAACTCAATTTCCGAAAAAAGTGAAATTTACCTTCTTTCCTTATGACACTTTGTGTAAAACGTTTTGCACTTAAAATAAACGAGAAGGGAAAAAGAAAATGTTATTTCCTTTCCTTTCTTTTTGTGCAACCTTTTCTTAAACCTTTTTTTCACAAGTATCCCCGAAACCAAGTGCTATGCGTTATTAGCATGAATAGAAAATACTTAATTTCATTTCGGTTAGTAAACAGAGAACGGCGCTTTCAGCTGCTTCTAGCAAAAGTTTTTTTCTAGGAGCTATGGTTCTGCCAACTTAATATCACGATGTACAAGGTATGTTCCTATTTCACGTGTCATCTATATCGTGGCTCATCTTTCTTCTTAGCCCCATGCACTGCTGGTCAGTTCTCTAAGACTGGACTGGGACCGAATTGTCAGTATTGCCCACGTGATAGCTATCAGGACAAAGTCCAACAAAAGAGCTGCACGCCATGTCCTAATGATACTCATACTCTCTCACTGGGCGCCAAATCACTGGCTGAATGTGGAGGTTAGTAGTACAACGAGCTGTCAAGAACCATGTAGGGCAGTTCTCAGTTTGTAACACTGTTTGAAATCTACTGGAGTCAACATGACCCAGTAAATGTCATTTTTGTTGACCGACAGGCTGTTTGCATGAATTGGTGGGGTCTTTTCACCATAATTATAACGTTACACAAAGTACCACGAATTTATTTAACTCTGCATTAGAGCTGATAAGATCAGTCTTATCCGGTTCTGTTTTCAGCGAGGCCCAAAGTGAACCGAATGGTACCAGTGGTAGCTAACATAAAAGAAGGCGAAAGTGTGTCAGTAGTTTGTTACGCTAGTGGAACCCCAACACCCAGCTACTTCTGGAAATTCTTGAAAAACATACCGGGTAAGTTTCTCACTCGGTATTGAGAGCGGAAATGTTTCCGTGACGGCTTTGGGCGATTTCACACGCCGCACCTTCAAGGCCGCTTACAGGGCCATGATCACAGGATTGCTTGAGAGAACGCAATAAAAAGCAAAACAAAAGAAGTGCAGTATACGGGGGTCCAATGAAATTACAGAGCTGTGACTCTTCTGACGGCTTTATCTTCCTCTGATTGCAGAGGACTTTGCTTTATAATTGAAGGTCAGTTTAGGCACAGGTCAAAAGAGAGCAAACGTGCCTTTGTGGTTATTTCTGTATTATCTGAGTAGCTTATTAGAAAATAAAAAAAGTTTCTAATTAACAAATCGACAGCAATTTTCCATAGTCAGTGTACTCTTATCGATCATAGACTTGGTTTTGCAGTGAAACCACGAGCGGGTGGCGAGTGGTTCCACTTGAGTTCTGAACATTTTGACGTCATTTTCTATGGTCGATAAGAGTACAGATCATGGAAAACTGTTGTCAATTTGTTTTTAATTACAACAACATTGACAGTCGGTATATCCATTTCCGTTTAAATTTCTCGGAAAGTCGCGCGCTCGAGGAAAAAAGAGGGAAAAAAACCCGGATAGCCCCACCATCACGTCATTTCCACGGTCTGTACTCTTATCGAACTTAGCTCTCCACCAATCTGCGCGAGAGAAATCACGCGATTGTTTGAAAAAAAAAAAGATTTTTAGACCAGCCTCGTTCCCAGGGTCCCTCTGCTTCCCGTCGCTCCAGGAGACGGAAAGGAGAGAGTCTGAGAAAGAGGTTGTTTTGGGAGATTTAAAAAAACGTTTTCCAACAAAGTGCAATCATGAAAGGTTATGTAAATATGAAAGTGAATATTGTTATCTGTTGGGAATAAAATACGGAAATAAATAAAAGCATGGAGAAAGAAACTGCCGAGCAAAATAAAACGCCGAAATCTATCAAAATTTATCCTGAATTCATTTTTATCATGTTTAAAGCTGCTGGTGTGATTGCAAAAGAAATTCATAGTGATAAACATTCTGGGTGGCTGTTCTAATCATATTTCATTTCATTGAAGCGAGTTTCCTTGGTAGCATGTCCCAGACCAGCATTAAAGACGGCATTGGTGTGGTGATTGGTTCAAAGCTGACTATCACTGGTGCTACGTATGAGAACTCGGGTTTATACGAGTGCCGTGTTTCGAATACGCATGGAGAGCACACAGCACTTGCTCAGGTTAATGTAGCAAAAGTGATTGACATAGGCTCTGGCTTGGACGAACCGCTTTAAGGTACAGTTTGCATACTAGTTACTTTAGTTTATTTTCTTTCTATTATTTACAACTTTTCACGTTCGGAAACTTTTCTTGAAGGTCACCCGCCATCAAAACAACTAAAATCGAGGCGAAGTTAGAGTAAGAGTTTGGCCGATTCCCTCCGCTCTCTCGACGTGCGGCCCTGTGTTTCTTCGCAGAGAGGACCGCATTTACGTTTCCAAAGCAACGGCTGGTGATCGAACAGAGAGCTATTATTCTGTGATTAAATTTTTTCCTTGCCTCGAGTGCACGACTGCATTAATCTCGATCCAAAAACTATTGTTGAATCATGAAATTAACGACAAACATTTGCTATTCAGACAACTGAAAATGCATCCTAGCCTTTCTCAGTAACACAAGCAACATTTTGTTTTCTTATTTCCTCTGACAGATTCATGTGTCTACCTGTACCTACCAGAAGGATATCCACAAAATATTTCAACCTTACATTCTACAATCGGTTTATGCAAGAGCTTGGTTTATTTAAAGACTTCACAGCTGATTATTTTAATGGGAAAGTGCATGTTAACAAAATTGTGAAAAAATACGCTGTTGTTCTCGTTGATGTTTTTACGCAAGCCATGACTTGAATCACTCATAATTCGATCACAAAGATTGAAAAAAACTCTGGAATATTATAACAATCTTATTTATTTACTAGCCATGATTGTTGATGTTAATGGGTGATATATGTGGTTTTTGCCATGAAAGGAAACAATCAATAAATCTCCAACACTACGTTATGAGTTTACTTTTTTTATGGACAGGTGTAACTCAGAGCCGGCCGCAGACGAAAAGGAGATTTATTTCTGAAAGAAATAAATGGTTTTATGCTTAATGTGACTGATTAATGTGTCATTTCTCCAGTTACTGGGGAGGGGGCGTTCCTGCCATCCGGGACATTATATATTGTGTTTTTAAGACATGAAAGCGAGGCACATGGCCTCTCTGCTCACGGCAACAAGAAAGTTGGAAAACATTTTTAGACGGTGGGCAGGTTTGGATGTAGGATGCTGGTGATTTATCAGTCTCCTTTGATCTTCTTGGGGTTTTATCTACCGAGCATCACCTCTTCTTTGAGATAAGTACTAGATTATTGCCAGATGGCTTACCGCTTACTCTCGGTGCTGTATTGATGTGCACAGATCTGATATGATGTGCGTGCACACGATCGTCTTGTTGATTGCAAGAATTGATACACGTTACGGTCGTTTATGCGCATA